AATATTAAGTAATTCTATTACTTAACATATTTTAATTATAAAATAAATTCAACTCAATTCCAAGCTGAGAAAAATAATCTAATTTATTTGTTGCAAATTATTAGTCAGATGAACTTAATAAATTATCTCTTCTAGTTATAAAACATCTTTATCATACAGAGATTCCAATAGGAAACCTCAACTCACTAATTGAAGAAACCTTTGGGAAAGACAGCTTATATCATAGTGAAGTCCAATACTCAGAACTGCCCTGTTTAATTAATTACCTTTTAATTAAATAATAACCACAAAACTTGACATTTCCAACTACAAAGCCATATGGAATTCTAGCCTCTCTCTTCAACAAAATATATTACCAATTTTTGACCCAAATAGCTCTCTTCATGGAATAGAGCTTTCCTCTACACCCACTGGGGTCTGCAGAGGGGATAAATGGCTCAGACTTGTGTGTCTTGCTTATGACTGCTTCTCAAAAATCAACAAACATTATTCTCATTCAAAACAACAGCGTAAAAGCAGTTTCACTGAAACACAAATGGACCTCAAACATTCTATTTGCATAACACAACACGTAGTTTTCACTCAGGCCTTCCTTCCAAAGCTTGCATACAGCTCTTAAATTCAGCCCAGTATGCTTTATTATATACCATATTATGATTTTCCCCATTCAGACTCCAACTAGGCTTCTTACCAATGACATAGAAAGAAAACCTAATTATCACTGCTTCGGCGCATCTAAATTTATTTCATTACCAAAATCAACAGAGTAGGAGCTAGATGCTGTCACAGAAAGGCAGACGGATATGGAGTATAAACTGCTCTTTCCTCTACTCTTCCTCTCCACACCCCGCCCCTCAAAGTTCCACAGTTGGAAATCATCCTAACATTTTTTTAGCCAGGATGTACTAAAATTAGATGGGAACAAAGGCCTGACATTTTCACATTAGCAAAAGGGTTAGGAGGCAAATGTGAACTGGCAGCACCCACACTCATCTACATATAGCCTTTTCCTCCCAAGTCTCTCCTCTCTGAAGTAGTAAGGCATGCGACAGCAGGGTACAACACCATTTCCATTCTGCTACCATCCCTGATAATAAACTGCTTTATCTATAAATACTTTAATAGAGTGGTAAATACAGTTCACAGTCCCCTTGCCAACCAAAGTATTTTCATGTTTCTTTCTAAACTATTCTGATATTATCCAGGACATGCTAATTGATGGATCATGTGTAAATGTTTATGTATTTGAAAAAACAAATACATAAAGAACAAATGGACTCACTTAAGAAGCTTCCACAGAGCATGCGCAATAAAGACTGTTCATTAAAATACTTATCATTTGCTGATGCAGTAATAACAACACACAGTTAAAAAATATAAAATGGAAGAATTCACTGTTTCTTCAAAAAACAAGAAAAATAGGGGCTGGGGTTGTGGCTCAAGTGGTACAGTGCTCACCTAGCATGCATAAGGCACTGGATTCAATCCTTGGCACCACATAAAAAAATAAAGATATTGTGTCCTCCTAAAACTAAAATAAATATTTTTTAAAAAAACAAGAAAATAATTGCTTCTGAAAAACTTAGACTTTGACTTTTTATACCTTCCTCTAATAACCTAGGCAAGTTATTTGCGAAAAAAAGTTTTAAGGCATGATCTATCACTTGGTTTCAGTCTTTTTTACAATAGTGTCAACATAACAAAAGTACATTATAGTCTGTACATCCAGTTTTTGAAGTTCTACTCCATAAAAGCAGGATATTCATATATTCACATTTTTGGTATTATTCCTATCTTTTTAATTTGGTTTCACTGAGCCTAAACTACATGTCTACACAGTGACAGTTCAAAATTCAACTTTAAAAAAGCCCTTTTAATTATTAGTCTAATGTACTGTTATAAGGATTTTAAAACCCAGTAAGAACCAACTTCATCTCTCTCTCTCTCTTTTTTTTTTTCTTTCCTTTCCTGGTTACTGGAGCCCATCTTGACATCTAAGCTGGAAATGAATGATCTTTCAACAACACTCCAGGGATTTTGCTAAGGTCATATTCAATCATTCATTAGGCTTCTTACCCGAAGCTTTTCAGAGTTCCATTGTAGAGCTGGTTTTATTCAGCATTTATGTAGCCTGTGGGCTTGGGTATTTGTCTGCTTAATGTTGAGTTTCATTTCTATGCCCCTAACATAGGAATCCATCAATTGACCAAAGAATTTCAAACTATTCTTTTAGTTTTCTAACAAATTGCATGGTATGTATGAAGAATAAATTAGCATTCATTTTCTTCCATTAACTGTTAATAAAACATGCTCCTACACTCCCCCTTCTAAGGACATCTTTTTCCTATCTAAAAGAAATTACAATGATTTCCTAATTTTTTCCCACTGCAATTGTCTTTCAACCTAACATGATCTTTGCTTCCCACAATCAAGCTCTAGATCATGGCAGCCTTCTTCCAGTATAAAATATACCAGACAAGACTCCTTTCATAGCCTATCCACATGCACCCTTACAATTAGCTGAAGAGGTTACTACTGTGGAACACAAGACACTTGGTCTCTTGCTCTCAAAACAGAAGGCTATCTCTGGAGCACATAAAATCTAGCTTAGAGAGCCAAAAACAGGAAATCAAAACCCAGGTCCCTTACTATGGAGACAAATGTTCACATTTGAACATATTTTCATTGTAGGCCACCAGATAGGGCAGGCAGGCAGACAGACACACACACACACACACACCTACCTATAAAATAACTTAAGAAAACAAAAATTAAAGACCACTAACATAGGCAGGGATATTCTATTTCGTTACATGTCCATTTAAGGAAAATTATTTCAAGGCTATTCAAAAGTTAATTACTTAATGTAAGTTCTTTAAAAATTCAAGTTTCCAGCAGGGCATGGTGGTGCACAATCCCAGCTTCTGAGGAAGAGGGAAATTGAGACAGGAGGAGCCCATGTTCAAGGTCTGGACAACTTGGCAAGACTCAAAATCAAATTTTAAAAAAAGGGTGAGGATATAGCTCAGTGGTAGAGCATTTGCCTAGCATGCACGAGGCCCTTGAGTTCAATTTCTAGTAGTAGGGAAAAAAATTAAGGTTTCTATTATACTCTAGATGAATGAGTGAGTTCAACATGCAGTACTGTATAACAATAAAAATTCAAAAATAAAGTGAATTGAAGCATATGACTCATAAAGAGGTAAAAAGTATATGTTTAGCTCCCTTCTTCCCTCAAACAGAAGTTTGCAAGCCTATCACAAAGGCAGTGGCAAATATGTTGCTACAATGAGTGGGAAAAATATCAAGGACAGTTTGTACTTATTTCAAAATGGCTTTAGTCAAGCTGCCAAGAGTAGTGTCATGTTTGATTCTCATATACATAAATGCCTGTCCCAAAAAACAACTCTAACTTGTGCACCTGGCTTAATGCAGAATATTCTAAAAACCTTCTATTTGTTAATTGGTGGCACCTGCCCATTCAGACTCCAATTCCCTTTGGACTTGCACACATACTTTCTACACACAGAAGTGGTTTGTTATATAGCAATAACATAAAAAGCAACAAATTCTGTGCAGGCTCCACAGACACAGAAAAATCTCATTTGCATTTCAAACAAGTTTCCTCAAAATAAGTGTCTTTTGATTAAGTAAATTACAATCCCAACTTCTTATCCACAGAAAATAGCATTCGCTACATAACTTACTGCTCCTTTYTGTAACTGCATAATTTCATTCACAGTTACCGATATATTCATAAGGTTTAATAATACTAAGTTTAGTATTAATGTGTTTTTATGATGTATTGCATTAACTCGTGGATATTTAATGGCCTGGTTTTTAACAACTTTGTATTATTTGAAAATACTAATTTTTTATTAGCATTTCTGGACCTTCCATTTGTTCTCATTTCAATCCTTAAAGAGGCTGCCATCTAGCATAATTAAAGTGATAAGAAAAATGACAATTCCCTTTTCCTACCTAGCTTAGCAACAACTCCAAGAGTCAAAAAAGTGGGCTGGGGATGTGGCTCAAGCGGTAGCGTGCTCACCTGGCATGCGTGCGGCCCAGGTTCGATTCTCAGCACCACATACAAACAAAGATGTTGTGTCCGCCGAGAACTAAAAAATAAATATTAAAAAATTCTCTCTCTCTTAAAAAAAAAAAAAAGAGTCAAAAAAGTGGAAAAAAAAAAAAAAGCTTCAGCTTTGCAAATGGAACAAACATACCTCACATAGTGACTCCAGGAGCTACTGAAACAAAGATCCATTCCAAGCAAATCAAACTCAATGTTTCAGTGTAGTTATATAGAAATATTTTATTGGATTGGTGCTTTAAAAGTAGCACATACTTAACCACTCAAAATCCTAAATGAGTACTTATTGTTACTGTATTTGAAATGAAAGACTATTAATGCAGGAAGAAAAAAAAGACCAATCACTTCAAAAAACTACACAATTGCTAGATGGGGTGGCGCATGCCTGTAATCCCAGGGGCTTGGGAAGCTGAAGCAGGGGATCTCAAGTTCAAAGACAGCCTTGGCAACTTAGCTAGGCCCTAAGCAACTTAGCTAGACTCTGTCTCAAAATAAAAATAAAAAGGGCTGGGGATATGGATCAGTGATTAAGCGCCCCTGGGTTCAATCTCCAGTACCCACCCCCCMMMAAAAAACTATACAACTATTTTATGGTTTAGATCTCAGATCTGAAACCAATACAATCTTTAAAAAGTTTACACTGCCTACATTTTGAAGTAATTTCTGACTTTTTACACATTAAAATAAAGTTTTCCCAAAATTTCCCATACAAAACCATCTTGTGCAAGCAAAGTATTAACCTTAACAGTTAATTTTCATCTAAATGAAAGATACATCTTGCCTCACCCCCCCAAAAAAGGAAAAGGATGTAACACAAGACTTAGTAGAATAAGAACACTTACCAAATAAACAAAATTTGTCAAAAGTTATATAATATTTTAAAAACTTGCTTTATTATTCCAGCATTAAAATATTATCTCAAAAACAAAGTGGTATTAGGTATTAACCTTCTTTATCTTTTTAAAGCAGTCTATACACTAATTCTCTTGCTAGATTATCTCTAACTAGAACCCCTTTGTCTCTATAGCCCTAAGGGCTTATAGAACTGATACCACCCTTTCACAGAATGACAAAACTCCAGTTCTCCATAGAGGCAAGTCATTCAAGACAAGAGATGGTGAAAAGTAATAAAGGACAATGAGACTCAGCTGGCTGACTCTTCATGCAGAGTACACTAGCAAGTTGTTAGCAATCACCACTAACAAGGAGCTGCATAGCTCCTAAAAATAACTGATTGACTTTTCTCACGAATGTTATATGTAATAATCCTAGTTCCCCAATCACCTGTTAATGCTACAAAGGTTGAGATTTGGCCCCTGGGAAGTAGACTACGTAAGTAGAGAATGGGTTTTAGAGTCAAATAAGAATCTGGTTCCAGCATGTATAAGCTTCTGTTTCCTAATATACACCAAGAAGATACTGGGAGAATTCAAAGACATAATAATAATATAACTTAACACAGGGCTAGGATATAATAATATCCCTTAGTTTTATTACCTCCTATTACCCATTTATCTTCACAGTGTAAAATACCATCAGCTACAAAATATAGGCTCAATAAATATTTCTTGATCAACTAGCAGATTTCTCTAATTTTATTTAACTATATATGAATGCCAATCTTTTCCCAGATGTTAATTTTGAAAATAACCACCATTCTACCCAAAGTAGTATTTCTTATTATGGTTCATAGTTTAATAAAATTGTTTTGCTTATTTTTCTGGCCCTGGAATGGTTTGGTCAAATCTTCAAAAATAGCTCCATTCAATTCGACTTTACCAAGGCACAAAACTAAAGAATACATGCTTTTTGTAAATTCATTTACTACTTTTAAGTTTTTAACTGTTTAGAGTTACAGGGGATTTTTTTTTAAATCAAAAAGAAAAATATTTACATTTCAAATACAAAAGATTTTAAATTACTGTTGGTTGTCTACATGCTCATGATTCCTTTTTTTTTTACTATGCTGTGTAGCTTCTTTAAAAAAGCTACCTGAAATTGTCCCAGGAAAAGTCTCACGATTTTTGGAAAACCAATGCTGCTACACTGTTTCCAGATCTGCCTCCAAAAGTGAACTTGGGTGTCGGCAGCTCTTCAAAAAGTTCAAATCCTGTCAGACAAAATTAAAATACTTTTATTAAGGATTGGATCCCACAGTTAAGGGAAATTTATACTTTCAAATCCTTTACAAAACTGTTACTTCAAACTCGGAAAATCAAAATGAAATCTGGTCACCATTCAAATTCTACCATGTGCATGGCTTGCATGTACACACTCAACRCTTTGAAATGAACAAGGAATAGACAAAACCAAAAACAAATTACAAAAAGAACGCGGGCTAGCTGGGCATGGGGGCACACCTGTAATCCAGAGGCTCAGGAGACTGAGGCAAGAGAATCACAAATTCAAGACCAGCCTCAACAGTTTAGCAAGGCGTAAAACAAATTAGAAGACCATCTCAAAATAATAAAAGGCTGAGGATGTGGCTCAGTGTAAAGCACCCTGGTTCAATCCTGGTACCAAAAAAAATAAATAAATAAAAGAGGCTATTCTTCCATCCCCCATTTCTTCTACTTCCTGTTTACCATTCCCTCCCATTTACACCTCCCCTAGCCTGCTTTTCTGTTCCTTTGTAGGCAGCAGCTATGGCACTGTTCGAGGCACTGTTTTTTGTTTTTTTTTTTATATATGGTTTTATATGGACTAATTAGGTTCACATCACACATAGAAAAAGCACATCATACATAGGAAAGGGTAACTTGGAAGTAAAAAATAAATTTGTAGAAGATAAACATTCTGAAGATGGATGGTAGTGATTTTTGCATGATAATATGAATATACATAATTGCCACTGAATTATACACTTGAAAAGGCTTTAAAAAGCCAGGTGTGGTGGCACATGCTTTTAACCCCAACAGGAGGATCTCAAGTTCAAGGCCAACCTGCACAACTTAGCAGCAAGACAAGTCTCAAATTTTAAAAAAAGAACTGGCAATGTAGTTTAGTGGTAGAGCACCCCTGGATTCAATCCCCAGCAAGGAAAAAAAAAAAAATTAAAATGGTAAAATTCTTCTGGGTATTTGACCACAATTTTTAAAAAATTAATCTGTATAATAGATCAAGACCCATACAGTTTTGGAAGAAAAGAAACTAGTAAGTTTCAAAGCAGCATAGTATGGATAAAAACAAAAACAATAAAACTTGGAATTAAATGTCCTGGGTTTAGGGTTAGGTTAAGAGGAATGTTAATAAGAAAGAAGAGTCCTGATTCCCTCACCAAGGTTTTCTACTCAACTGGCAAACTGCTTTCAAAAAAACTGTTTCCACCTATAATCAGATTCAGGAGCTACTGACCTCCAGCAAGCTTTCCTTACAGTCACCTTCCACCTTGCACAACATGACCCCCTCCTGGGGTAGCAGTGATGAGCACCTCTATCTTTTTTTGCCAGCAAAATGCAGAGGAACCCAACGTGCACGTGCAGCATGTTATGCCAAGTGTAAACCTCAATGCAGAGAGCAGGTGTGCAGAAATCCTGAAATCACTTGCAACAACAGACTGTGCCTTTCTAAGCCCACCCTTTTCATCTTAAAAGCTTTGCTCCTCTCAAACTCAGAAAGCAATCTGGGAACCCTAAACTGTGCACTGTCTCCCTTGTACTTGAGCAGAAATCCCAAGAAAACCTCATTCAGATGATATTGCTTGTCTCTATGATTTCTATCTCTTTTTTTTTTTTTTTTTTATTTATTTAGTTAGTTATTGGCGGACACAACATCTTTGTTTGTATGTGGTGCTGAGGATCGAACCCGGGCCGCACGCATGCCAGGCGAGCGCGCTACCACTTGAGCCACATCCCCAGCCCTATGATTTCTATCTCAAGGGGAGCAAAAGGCTCAAATGAGCTGGTAACACTAAGAGCTTTATAACACCAAAATGAGCTGGCAACATCAAAGAGCTGAACTTTGCCTTTCACAGGTATATTCTCTAGGATCCCAAGTTCTGTACAAGGAGGTTACAGATATCAATGCCCATATGGAACTTGCAGTGATTTTGTGTAGATTAAAAAAAAAACCAAAACAAAACAGTCTTTTTCTAAACTATAAAATAAGATACAAATGTAACATTTTCTACTTTGTCTTTTAAAAGTAAAAACAGGGCTGGGATATAGTTCAATTATACAGCACTTGACTAACAAATATAGCTGGAAAGTCACTCACAAAAATTGTTAACCTACAGTTTCCTTCAGTGATAAGACTAATAGTTTGGGAGGATTTCTTTTTCTTGGGGTGATGGGGTTCTCCATTCCCTAAGCTTCCATGTTTTGCACTCAAATAAGTGTGGTAAGCAGAAAAAAAAAAAAAAGGTTATATATTATGGTGACAACTAGACTTTAATACTTTATTTCACTGCACATTCTAATTTATATTCTTTACCAAACTTCACCAAATCTTAATAACTAAATATTAAAATGCTCATTAAAACCTGATCATAAGGAGCTAGGGTTGTGGCTCAGTGGTATAGCGCTTGCCTGGCATGCATAAGGCACTGGTTTCAATCCTCAGCACCACATAAAAATAAAATAAAGATTGTGTCCACTAAAACTAAAAATAAATATTAAAAAAAAAACTGATCATAAGGCCACAGTAGCATACAACTTTAATCCCAGCTATGGGAGGCTAAGGTAAGAGAATCACAAGTCTATGGCCAGCTTGGGCAACTTAGCAAGATCCATTCTCAAAAACTAAAAAGGCCTGGGGATATATAGCTCAGTGGTAGAACACCTCTGGGTTCAATCCCCAATACTGGAAAGAAAAAAAAATGATCATAAGAAAACTTTTCCAAAGGAGAATAAGCCATTTAATAATATATTTTAATGCTGGAAAATAGAGTCATTATGTTAGGTACATGAGTGCACAACATATTTGTTTTCAGAAAATTTTACCTATGCTTAAAATAAAAATTTTCAAGAGAAAAGAGAGCAATGTCAATTTTCCAGGAACCACTTTTTAGCTCACTGAACCTAACCCTATAGAATTTATTATATTTCAGTAATGTAATACACCAAAATCTTAACTAGTGATTATATTTCATTGATAGTTACAAATAATTTCATTATTTTAATTATATGTTAACTAGTGATTATATATTCCATTGATAGTTACAAATTATTTTATGTATTGAGGTTAATATTTTCAATTTTTTCAGAAAGATTCAGGATTATTTTTTAAGTAAAATAGACTGTCATTTTACTACAGTAGTTGTAACAAAGTCCTTTGGACATCAAATTAAAACAACCTAATATCTGGCAATTGATTAAAGTTATCTCTCACTAGAATGAAAACACAAATAATTATACTATATGAATAGGGCTACCCAGGAAAAATTCAAGCTTCATTTCAACAGTTTTATGAAACTCATTTCTAATGAGGAAAGAAGCAAAAAATCTTAAAAGCCTAGTGAGGCAAGCTTTGAATAAGGCCAATCTGAGGAGGCCTTCAGCAGTGATGAGTAGCAGAGTCCTCTTTTACTGACCTGTACATAACTCCAAACACCATTTTCTAAGAGACTCATACCTAAAAACAAAATCTTCAATGGAATGTAATGATTTCCTTAACATTTCCTGTTGTAACATTTTGCTTATTTTAATTCTGTATTCAGTTCTAAAACTGAACATAAAGAGTTTACTCAATAGTTCTCAGACACAGACACATTTTTAAGTACTCGATACCAGGCTGAAGTCTGTTCCTCATTATCAAAGACAAATATGTTTTTGTCTGCTGGTTCCAGGGGTAAAAGAGAACACCTGTATTTAAAAACTAGGAAAGGAACCTGCCCTACACAGTGTAATTCTGAGCATTTATTAAACTGTCAAGCTTCAGAAAAAGAGAAAGACTATTGATRCAGGACCTAAAAAGTTCTAAAGGAAACAAATTTACATGGAAGATAATAAAATTAATGGCATAAAAGACAATAAATCATGTATAATTCTTGTTTTCCAGAGGCAATGGTAATGAAGCCACAGGCTCACATTTCCAGCCTCAAACACTTCTGGTTTTACATTATATAACGTGTCAAAGTCATTAAGTGGACACAAAAGGATATGTGTTAAAAGAGTTCTCTATAGTTGAGCGCACTGGTGCACATCTGTAATCCCAGTGACCCCGGAGGCTGAGACAGGAATATCACAAGTTCGAGGTCAACCTCAGCAAYTTAGCAAGGCCCTAAGCAACTTAGTGAGATCCCGTCTCAAAAAAAATAAAAAGGGCTAAGGATACGTATGGCTCAGTGGTAAAGCACCTCTAGGTTCAATTCCTAGTACCAACAAAAAAAAGAAAAAAGAGTTCTCCCTATTAGTCCCCTTAATATCAGGTTAAAACCTAAGTTGTGGTATATGCAATATGGTTATAAATAATAATACACAGTAAACTGCTCCCTTAAGGTAACTGGTTTCTCATTAGCTTGTGACAAAGTTCAAATTTTTCAAATATTTAGTACCATATTAGTTATTAAGACTTCATCCTGAAAATTCCTCCCATTCCTCTAAGATAAAAAATTAATACTAATCTGAAAAGGATTCTAAGGAAGAAGCAAGCTAATGCCTAAACATTCTCAAAATACTTTCCCGGAAATGCCCAGGCACTGTATAAATAAATTGGAAGATAAAATGTTTCTTAAAACATTCAAGAAACAATCTGTCAAAGAACTCAAAATGTTTTGTGTATAGATTATAGCTTCCTCAATCCTCACCAGACCCCAATTAGTAAAGACAGCACTAATTAGACTTGGCTAATGGGACAAAAGGAGCTCCTGATTTGGACCAAAACTTCGAAAAAAGGCAGAAATTTCCTTAAGAATAAGTAGGTAGAACTTCTAGCAATTCTCCCAATTTTGTTTCTGTGCAATGTTAACTGTTATATATACACTGAAAACAAGACAAATCCTAAATACCTAAAAGACAACTGGAGCAAAACTATATATAGAACATTTATCTATAAAATTAAACTCTCATGATGTAAGACCTTAAAAAACTATGTTCATTTGCATTATTATGGATTTGCCAGTGAATCAGTGCACTGAAGTCAAAAGCACAATATATATACTTTTGATTCTCTAAATAATAGATTGTATCACTGAAATAAAGAACTTGATTTTTACTAGCTCATAAATTTTAGTACTTAACTGCCAGAATTTCTGGGGAAATTTTTTTAAAAGGCCTCTGGATCTCAACCAATGTTATTTCTCTGTGCTTTGTATATACAGTTAAAAGTTATTACCAAGGTCATTAACAGAGAAGAAAAGCAAGCCATTCCCACAAATAGGAAAGTAAAACACTACAGCACCAAGGGGAAAAAGCCAGTTAAATACAAGAAACCTGAAGTAAGCACATGGTTAAATATCATGTAGCCATTTACCTTCACTGAATTCATTTAGCAACTCTTCCTTGGTCCAATTACATGAAGTTATTAGGAAAAAACCTTTTACTCTTAACACGCTGGAGAGAGATTTCACATACTGCTTCCTCTTCTCAAAAGCATTGTCAGGATTAAGGCTGATGGCATCAAAAGTTCCTTTATCAATACAAATATGAAATCCAGACAGCTTTGTGGAAAGATTCAAAAAGTCTTCTACCTATATTAAAAATCAATGTGTGAGAACAATTAAGATATAATCTTCAAAGAATTTAAGTGACAACTTGTAAAAGATCATGAATAAAAAAACCATTAATTACAACAGCATTTTACATATAATAAACATATTTTCAATTTTATAGCTAACTTTTATGAGTTTCATTCCAAAATCATTAAAGCCAAGATTAGTAAGAGGGGTTGATAGGGTTTCCTGGACATTCCAAATGTCTGCAAATCTGGAAACAAATCAAAGCCAGGCGTAGTACTGCCTAATACTTGCACATTATGGTGCTCACAAGTCGGGTTTTATGGAAAAGTTGTTTCTGACAAAAAAGTAAAATATTTGACATATTTATCAAACTCACAAAAATCTATATGGAATGCAGGCCACTGAAAAGATTTTTAGCTTATATTCCTAGTTGTGTGACCTAAAGTAAACATGGTAAATCAGAAATTCTTTTGCTTTGCCTTTTCAGCAGTTCACAAAGCCGCTACTGAGTATAATAAATGACATGAAGTTCAAAAAATTAAATGACTGTTTAAACTGTGATTATTTAACTTGGTAAATACCATGAAGTGATTTTTACAGTCATACATAAGCAACCTATTTGCAAAAATCCAACACAATTTAAGTATTTGAAACAGAGAAATGTCTCAATTTTATAAARTATTCACAAAAACTTACCAGTGGTCTTTATTCTTAAAAGCTACTTTTTAAAAATCCAGTAATTAGCTCATGATTATTAATTCAAATTTAATAAAATAATTGTAATGAATTTTATGTAAAACCCCTACTGACTTAAACATGCGCATATTATGTACTTATGTTTGAAAATGGGTTTTGTCCTCTCCCTCATAACCAAAGTACAGAATTCATTATACTGAAACAAAGTAATGACAATCACCTGAAGAGTTAACTTCAGAGACGTTTCCTCATCCTAAATACATGTACAAAAGTACTCCTATACTCAGTAAATAGATTGTGTATACTTATGTGCATGTGCAGGTACTTTTCAAACACAAGATATAACAGTAAATTAAACAAAAAAGTTTCCTTAATAGAATATGCCTTGGGGCTGGGGTTGTGGCTTAGTGGTATGGCACTTGCCTAGCATGCATGAGGCACTGGGTTCAATTCTCAGCACCACATACAAATAAATAAAATAAAGGTCCATCAACAACTAAAAAATATTTTTTAAAAAATACCATAGACCTTATACAGTTTATAAAAGGAGAGATAAACAATAAATAAGCTGCTATGGTTTGAATGTGTCTTCCAGAATTTGTATATTGGAAATTTAACCTCCAAAGTCATATGTTTGAAAGTAGGACCTTTGGAAGGTCACTAGGTCATGAGAGCTCTCCTCATAAATGGATTAATGGGTTATTGAAGAAGTGGTTCTGTAACAAAAGTAACAAATTCTCTGTGGTACACTCGCTCTGTCTATGTGATGTCCTCTGCAAGGTTATGATCCAGGAAAGACCTCATTAGTGTGATGTTTTTAGACTTCCCAGCCTCTAGACCTGTGAGCTAAACAAATCTTTTTATATATACTATATAAATCTTTATATATTACCTAGTCTGTGGTATTCAGTGACAGCAGAAGGAAAAAGAAAAATACCCTAAGACATAAGCTAAACAAATAATTTCAATAAAGTGCTATTAATAAGACAGTAGGTGACAGGGATAAGAAATATTTTGGGGGCTGGGGATGTGGCTCAAGCGGTAGCACGCTCCCCTGGCATGCATGCGGCCCGGCTTCGATCCTCAGTACCACGTACAAACAAAGATGTTGTGTCCGCTATAACTAAAAAATAAATACTAAAATTCTCTCTCTCTCTAGACTCTCTCTCTCTTTAAAAAAAAAGAAAAAAGAAAAGAAATATTTTGGAAGTAGTCTGGAAAGGCATCGCTAAGGTAATATTTGGGCAGAGATCAGAGTGATGAGAACAAGCCAAAAGTGCTAAGTAGTGGGACAAGAACAATGTTGGCAGAGGAAATCAGGACCAAAGAACAAGCTTAACATGTTTCAGGAAAAGAAAAACAGCCAGGGTGACTACAGAGTAATGGATAAAGGAGAAAACAAGTAAGAAATGAGGGACTTTGTAAGGCTGGGTTTGGGTTTTGGATTCCACTCTGAATACAAAGGAAAGACAAAGGCAGATTGTGAGCAAGAAAATGATGTGAATTGATTTACTGTGTGTGTGTGTGTGTGTGTGTGTGTGTGTGTGTGTTATGTACTGGGGATTTAACCTAGAGGCACTTTATCACTAAGCCATAACCCCAGCCCTTTTTATATTTTTTCTATTTGAGACAAGGTCTTGCTAAATTGCTTTTAGGACCTTACTAAATTGCTGAGGCTGCCACAAACTTGTGATCCTTCTGCCTCAGCCTGGAGTCACTGGATTATTATAGGCATGCGCCAGCGTGCCCAGTTAATTTACATTTTAAAAGATCCCTCTGGCTACCCTGTAGTACATGGGCATCAGAGCTGCAAGAGTAAAATAAGGCAAAATAAAGGGCTCCTTGCTGTGGTAGTCTAGACAAGAAATGATGGTAGCTTGGACTTGGCAGGTAGCAGTTGAAGTATAAAGGAATGCTCACATTTCTGATATACTCTGAGAATAAAACTAACAAAACTGAAGAGAAGGTTCAAAGGGAAAAAAAGAAAATATTCCAGGATGACTCCCTGGGTTTTGGGTTAGTGCAACATGGTGAAAGGTGGCATTATTAATAAAGACAGGAAAGACTAAGAAGAGCATGTTTAAGGAGGAGCATGTTTCATTTTGATCTAATCAACCTAAGATACTATTAGTTATTCTAGTGGAACTTGAGACAGTTTTACATAATTCTGGAATTCAGGCAAGAGGTCTGGCTAGAAACAAAAATTTAGGAATCATGATCTCACAGAGTCTAGGACACAAAAATAAACCCAATGATCTTTGGGGGCATCATACCATTCTAGGAATCCACAGCTTTTTAATCTGGCTAAACCACAATTAGGTATTATTTTATGTTCTGCAAACATGCTGGGGAGTAGTATGAATACCCATGTACACAAGGAAGAAGATAATCCTCCTAAACTGACTAAATTAAAATTTTAATAGTTATTTTTAAATGTTTCAATTTGTATTATTTACTTTGAGTTCAAACAATCTCAGCACATTAATACACTTTGGAAACATTCAAACTTTATAAATTCTATTATAAACAAAAGAATTATAGGAATATAAAAAATAGTTACCTTCAAGTTAATGTTAGATAACCCTTCTTTCTCTATAATATTTCCAGAAAGCTGAATTGCAGAAGGAGAATAATCAATTCCAGTAATATTAGAAAAACCAAATTTTGCCTAAGACAAAGAAACAACATAATTCTTCAGTTTAAGTTTTAATATAATGTTTCGTCTCTGAATTACAATATTCCTTTAGTAGTGGAATTGTTTTAATTATTTTTTAGATCAAATGACATATAATATCCAATAATCCACCATGTTTAAATTTTATTGTACAGTCTAAACAGAAACCAAAAGTTTACATTTCTATGACAATTCATTTGGTTTTATAAATATTTTGATTTTTTTTTCAAAAAAATTCATTTTATCAAAGATAATAAAAATATATGTATAAGACTCAGGCAGAAAAATAAAATATTTACTTCTGGGGCTGGGGATATGGCTCAAGCGGTAGCATGCTCGCCTGGCATGCGGGGGGGCGCTGGGTTTGATCCTCAGCACCACATACAAATAAAGATGTTGTGTCCACAGAAAACTAAAAAATAAATATTAAAAAAATTCTTTCTAAAAAAAAAAAAATTTACTCACCAATTCATACAAAAACATATCATAAATTTTATTTAACCCAATTAAGTATACGAATAAATTAAATGCACATATAGGAAGTTATTGATTTTAAAGTTTTTTCCTCAGTGTAATTATTCAATTCTCTACCAGCCATGTGATTAATCACCCTATTTGCATAGTACTTTTTCATTTTCTAAATATTCCATAATTTCTTTAGAATTTTACAAAAACTGTGCATTAGGCTGACAGGGGCTAATAAGGAGTTAAAGAAAACTACTGGATTTAAGGATTTTGCCATTTATTAGCCACAAATCCTCCTAAGGTGTATGGCACCTGTAGCAAAAGCATGGTGGCTTCTGTTATTGATCCATCCCCTAACTACAATGAACATTTTTAGACCAAAGAAGCTAAAAACAATTTCAAAGGAAATTAAAAAAAAAAAAAGACAGCTGCAAAATATAGTGTGGTCTAAAATTCCCTTTGTGTTTTTCACCATTTACTAATTGGTTACCACCTTCAAAACTTAACCTACTCCCACATCACCCATTCAGACTTATCTAGGCTTTTCAACCCCAAGACACTGATTCCTAATCTAAACTCAATGAACAAATATATCAATTAATTTAGACAGGGCATGCATTTTTTTCTCCTTTTAATTAMTTTTATGTTTAACCTTGAGATCTAAATATCTCCTTTTTTGATGCCAACATCCTATACTTTTAGCTGTCTCCCTTCCTACTATTTGGAATTTTTATTTCTTCTTTTTTTTTTTTAATTTGTTCTTTTCAGTTATACATGACAGTAGAAAGTATTTGACATACATACATGGAGTATAACTTCCTATCCTTGCAGTTGAAGAGAATATACAGTTACATTGATTGTGTGTTTATTCTGTTTTTTTTTTT